CTACCTCATGTCTATCTGAAAGAACGAATTTCCCTCTGTACTCGAATCCAACTCATATATATATATATGTGCGTATGTATTAAGTTAATTTGTTTTCTTTCTAAACTGTCATTTAATTCTAATATTTCATGTTTCTTTTCGATTATGATTACCTGAAGCTGAATTCTCCGTAATGACATATGTCGATAGTATTTGTGATTAGAACATATGTCAATTGTGTAAACAGAGATAATAGAACCCATACTCCGGGATTATTCTCCAGCATTTAAAGTTCATACAAATATAAATAACAGTATAAACAAAACAGTTAAAATAAGCCTTTAAAAATATTATCTGATAGCTTAATCATAATTTCATAGATATTATAAATCAACGCTTTATTCATTAATAAATAATTTATCTTATTTCCTTCTCTGTTGAATATATCATCCATCCATTTTTCCTACTTGATCTAGGCATATATAAACTGAGTTAGTTATATAATCAAATTTATGATGATAAACGTAGATGATAATATGAATAATTATCAACATTTTGTCACAGAAACCAATCAGACTAGATTAGTTATCTAATTTGGCGCCTGTAGAAATTTAGCAACTATTAATATTCATTATAGAAAATGAGTCCTGGAAAATAATCAGACATACTGTGCATACACCTTTTATACAAACAAGTATTAGGACTCAATACACGGGAAATATTAGCTAAACATACTGATTAAAGCAACAATTTTTATGTTTTCGGTTCATTTTAGTTATGTAATAAAACAGCAAATTATGATAATGATGATTATCTGCGAACACTTTTAATGGAAGCAAAATGATGTTATCATTGCATTATTTAGCATGCTAGTTTTTAAAAAATAAGTTAGATCCGAATATCACATCCAGTACAGTTGGGGAACTAATAAACTCCAAATGTTTAATTATCTTTTCGGAGTCTCAGTCTAATCAAAAGGCTTAAAATAATTATACGTGTTTAATAAATTTCTACTTTACTACTAAAACAATATAGAATATTAAAAGACTAACTAGTGAACAAGGTTCTACGGATATGTATATATATATCCATATTAAATAAAGAGTTATTATTATTAACAACATTAACGTTTCAAGTAGCATCGAATTACTAACATCCTTAGGATACAGTTCAAAAGAATTTGTAAGCGATAGTATGCGCCTGTATAATACTTAACTGCAAAGAGTACTCGCTTTATATGGTGTTAAAGTCTATTTCAAACCCTCTAATTCCTTAGAGAGAAGGCATTGATGAGTGTCAGAGATATATTTTCAGAAATGTGGGGCTTGTTATACACGGGAAAGCAGTAAACGGATGAAGCTCAGAAGGAATGAACAAAGTCTGTGCACGAAACGTCCGCCTAAAAATGGAGTAGAATTAAAGCGTCTTGAAAAAGCATCAGCTATAGCAACGGATGCTACAGAAAGCAGATATAAGATCAATTCCGCCAATGTCGAAATTCTGGAAAAAGGATTTCATTCACATAAAGAAAGTCTGTCCTCTGAAGCCTTGGACATTTTAGCTACATTGACTGTGATAGACAAGAGAGAAGGGATAGATTTATCACCTGTATGGCAGACTCTAATGAAGTAAAACAGATGAAAAAATGATTCATTTCCATAGTGTGACATCTGGAGAATATTTTCATGTTTGAATATGCTTTGTTATATAACAAAAGTCGAATTCAATGAACTGTGATTAAGATTTGACCGAATAGTTCCAAAATAACTGGGCACCGAATAAGAAGTAGATGTATGTAGAAATTATATTTGTAAAATCTCAGTTCATATAGACAAATGTGCGCATACGACCGTTTGACATTTTTCATTACGAATATGTGATGATCGTTTACATTTTTCTATTGGTACAAATGTCTACCGACAGGTGACTTTCAAAGAAGTTCGCTTTAATTTATGTAATTTTCGACCATAAATTTCGATGGTTAATGAAATCTCCAAAGAATTCTTCTGAAGATGCTATGGCCTTCACAGCGAAACTTTCAGAAAAGTCTTGTTTTCATTTTTTGGACACACTGGGATTATTTAAAGAATTTTATAATGATTCAATCTGATTGATCAAATTATTCAGGAAATTCGTAACATCCATAGTCTGGATATTTATAATCTGAATATTAGATAAATTAAGAAAAATAATGCCGAATTCATAAATTTGTAGATTCCACAGCAGGCTAGGGTAGTATTAGTGGCTAGACCTGTTTCTCTTGCATGCAGGCGAATTGCAGTGGCCTAAGCTACCTATAGGCATTTTGGTAATTTAGTTGGTATTCGGTAGATGATAAGACAAGATTTTTCAGTGTTAACTTTAAGGCCCGTTCGGACCAGGCGGTGTAACATTGAAGCAGTGATGATTTTTACTACACCTTTATTTAGGCACACTGGCAAGTGTTCTCGAACCACTATTGCTACGCCAGTCTGCCGTGGCACTTATGAATCCGTAAATTCTGTATTATTTGTCTTACTTTATTTGATTTTCAGTTAAGTGTTATATTTGTGCATATTATTACTTACAAATGCTTCCCGATGTTATTTGAAACATTAATATGGTTAATAACAATAATTTTCTAATTATTATGAGCATATAACTGTAGAACCTGATGAAGAAGTTATCCAAAAGAATATTCTTTGTTCACTAATCAGTCTTTTGAAATTTTTTAGTGGACATCAATGTAAAATTGGTCTAATTTAGTTGATTGCTAACGCTACCTGAGGTAACGATAGAAAGTAAAATGGAAACTCTGATCACAACATGTAAATTACCACCCAAGCGGCTGTTGACTTTGATCCAACGACAGTCCTCATTTTCATTTTACTATCAATTATCATCCTCTAAGTCTTGATTTATTTGTATGATGCCAGCAAAAGTTATTCTATGAAAGCGTTCTTTTATCAAAATAACTAGAGACAACAGAATAAAGGGGAGAACAATTTTACTGAACAGGCTGCATCAATTTCTGTTTAAAAAACTAATAAACATACGTACTTTAGTGGTTGCATCTGTACGTAAACTAAATATCAGATATTGTTACAATTCCAGCTTTTATAGTTTCAGGTATCTAGGTAAATTAATCTTTGATAACTATGATTTTCATGTACATCGCATGTAATTAACTCGTAGTAGGAGTAATGTTCAAATTTACAAAAGTTTTAATGACAAATATTTGCGTCCGATAATTCAAGAAATCTTTTAGGGCTAGTTTGCGTTTCCCCTGTGATTGATTACAATGGACTGAAGTGTTCGGTTTCATTTGACAAAATTATAACTAATACCCGTCGCATATGTGTTGGATGTCATGGCCTTAGTAGCCTAATGGATAATGCTTTGACGTTTGAAACCATTGGTGAAGAGTTCGAATCTCAGTGGGAACGCCACTACTCACTGGGAATGCAGTTGCAGCGAACTGATGAGTCCCATATAGAACAAACTGCACCACTGCTGGTTGCCATCAGTCAGAAAAGGGATTTCCACTCACCTTCTATTCCCGCTGAACAAAAGAACCAAACTTCAATGAAGGTACCTGTATTCATATCCATCTTATATACAGCTTTCTTCTATTTGTAGTGAAAGCTTTCAGTTATGACCATTCAACTGCATTTGAATCATTATATTAATACAAACATTTGTCATAGTTTCTCATAGTGTTACACAGTGTAACACTGTGTGATTTATGAAAATAAAATTTTATCCATAATGGAGTTACACTCTACCATAGCGCCCAAGTTTTATACTTATATCAATGACACTAATTCCTCCAAGCGCACAAGTAATTCCATTGGCCTTTTGTGAGGCGTTATGTCAGCAGTGCTTATACCCCTGCGTCGTTGATATTTTAGTATTCTGTTTCCACAGCTGAAGCAGATACCGGTCGTCTCAATAGCGAATTGTGGCATATATGCAATATTTTAGTAAGATAGAGTTTCGATTTCAAGAATAAAGTATCTGAAAAATCGCCATAATGTACAACTTACCAGCCCTTATAGAATTCCTGCTATGACAGCGATTGTATCGAAATGCATAACCATCATTAGCCAGGCAATACTTCTGAAGAGTCGTTATCCCTCCACATATTCATATTTTAGTTCTTTCTATCAACACATTTGCCACAAAGAAGTCAAAAACCAAATCTGGGTGAAACTTGCAACGATGATTATGAAACAGCATCCATTTGTAATGCTGAGTGGTCTGGTTGGTTGGTTAAGGATCATTTGACTGTGGTGTCTGTTCTTTACTATTGCCGCTTTCGGATATTTACTGAGTAGGTATCCTTCTGTTCATACTAATTCATTGAATACTGTCTCGTTGATGCACAAATATACACGTAGAGAATATCAAATAATTTTGTCTAGAAAACTTACAGTGGTTTGAAATGTTAACAACATAAGGTAAGTAGTTTTCTGACAGTTTACTCACACTTTATTTAAACGTAACGCTTAATCGTTAGTTCACATAAATCTATTAAACTATGCAAATATTCCTTTTGTTTTGTATGTAGGGATTTGTTAAAAAGAAACATGAGTTCTTCAAGCTGAAAAACTTCAGATCTTTATAAATCTTTATGTGCGCTGGTGGCACAGCGGTTAGGACGCCCACCGACCATGCACATGGTCCAGGGTTCGATCCCATGCCGACACACACCCGATATCACTAATCGGCCTGCAAAATTTGGGCTACCGAGATCACATGCTGAAAATTCCATACTTGTGTCAAAAACACTGTGTGGAGTCAAGCAATAATAGAATTTAAAAAAATTAGTTTATAGGTACAAAATACCGATTTACACATAATTATTGTGATTTCGTTTGGAATTAGGCATAACATGGATGTTCTTTACAATTTAACAAGTGATTAACTATCTTCATTTTTATGAACTGTGAGCCATACACGTTTTTATTTGTATAAAACTTTTCATGTGCCTCATTTTTCATGATAATCATCTATTTGCTTTATTTCTAAATTTACTCTAGGTATAAGCAATACAAGCCCAGATACGTATAGTCTTTCAGAGCCTGGTCTTGTTGCCTCAACATCTCAGTATCCATTAGATAACAGCGATATTTATAATCAGGGGAAAGTAAATGTATCCTCACAAACTATTTCTCACTATGCTTTAGATTATGCTACTACACCAAAACGTAATAATAATAATAATGATAATAACAATTACAAATCAAGACATAAACTTCATCCCTACCCATTTATATACAATAATCAGCGTTTATTTAACGCTAAAACAAACACCAGCAAAAATGTTTGCATACCTAGCACTTCTACTAATTATTCATACATAAAACGTAAACGAAGTTATGACAAAAAGCTACACAAGATATGGCAGACATATGAAAATCGTTTATATAAATTCAATGAAATCACTTCTTCATCATCTTTATCATCAGCATCAGAATCTGCATCAACAGCATCAGAATCTTCATCATCCACACCATCGTCATCTACACCGACTAATTCATCAACCAGTGAATTGTTTACTGTTAAAATGAGTCGCGCTGCTAAAAATCAATCGACCGACGATGATGATGACAATGATGAAGATGATGAGGAGACAACTAGTCAACAAGCTGAAACCAAAAAAGAAACCCTACAAAATACTCGGTCTAACATTAAAGGAATTCATTCAATCAGTAAAAGAGAGTATTCAACCAAAGAGAATAAAAAGAAAAGCAATACAAGTATATTCGCTTCTATTAGACGCAGGTAAGTCTGAATACTGTGTACAGTTAATATTTTTTCTTGTATCAGATTGATAATATTTACTTATACCAAAGTATTTTTGGTTGACATTTTTTACTTCCCGAAACCAGAGTAACAGATTCATTAGAAAATGGCGTTTAGCAAGCTATTAGGCGCATATCAGTCTACTTGGCTATTCGCCATTTATGTGTATATATAATATCTAAATGACATAGGATGCCTTTAATACATTGTGGCCACACAGCTTTTATGGCCAGTTACAACGTGAAATTCCATTGTGTATTTACTAGCTTATATAATGAATACTTATTATGATAACACCCTATTAGTAAAAAGACTGATACTACATTCGTCTGCTTTTATAGAGGGAAATATTTCATGTATATATTCTCAATCTATGTATATATATATTTATTGTTTTATATTTTATTCCTTCACATTCCCAGTGGAACATAGGGCTCCAAGCTAGAGGCTTGAAGTTTCTGTAGCAGTGTTTAATTTTACAGGATAGGGTTGCTAGCGCCTCATGCCCAACCTTTCCTCTTTACCAGTTTTATAACTGGCTTAGTGAGGTAAAGGAATGCGTCGGCCGGGGATCGAACTCAGGACCATGCGCATGGTCGGCGAGCGTCCTACCGCTGTACCACCGGCGCACTGGCGCCCGAGGTGGGGCTCGAACCCACGACCCTGAGATTAAGAGTCTCATGCTCTACCGACTGAGCTAGCCGGGCTAAGTGATATCGGTGTCAATCATTCCTAGTGCCCGGGCTGATTAAGCACCGGAAGCTCACACCGTTAATCTGGGGTTCTTTACTTGACACAGACCAACGCCTATGCCTACGCCACCACATATATATATATATATATATATGATAGAATCTCACTTGGAGAATGGCATTGTCTTCAATCCTCTTGTTTGAGGGTAATATTTCTTTCAGTGCGAATACAAAATTTGAAATTCTTGACACAGTTTCTGATTTCACTGAGTGTAAGAAGTGAAATATTTCTCTGATAAATTACTGATATGCTTTAAAATGTTAAATAGTGTACTGTGCAGTTCTAAAGATGGTTCCTAATTAGTATTCACGCTTTAATGCATTTGATTTATAGAGGTTTTTTTCAACTCTTATACACAAGAAAATCTTTGAGTTTTAATAAAAAACCAAAATAACTCAAGGATTTAAATGGAATGAAAGTCTTGTTGGAGAGATTATTGATCAGCTGTGCTGAGAATATTGAATTTATAATACGACTGCTGAGTATTCATACAATACAGTTAACAACAGTAAACGCTCGACAAGCTCTTAGTAGATTTCCCAGGTCAAACTAATACAATAAAACTGGAACGTATTTTCATGTCAGACAGGCAAAAAATAACTATATATTTACAACAGTTATAATAGTAATAATAATAATTCAAGTAACATCATAGGAACTTATCATACAGTAATATGGGGCAAGTGTTGAACATCTATCAACGTGGTCGGATGTAACTGCTCACCTCTCTAACAGAAAGTTAATATTGATACGATTTCAATCTTTATTGATAGATCATGGGGATAGACTGTAGCCGAACTTTCCAGTTATATTCCCTTAAGTTCCGAGTGGAATATGAAACCTCAGCAGCATGTCTCCATCTCACTCTGTTTTCTGAAGTCCTTTTTAGCTGTCTGTGCAACTGCCTATAAGCTTTCGTCTTTTCCTCTATGCATTCTCAGATGCTCAAATCATCCCACTCGAGATCCAGATACGTGATGTTACTTAACGATCTCCTCAGAGTATTCAATTTATCTTTATCTCCTTCAACCTATTTGTTTGGCAGTAGGTTCTTGGTTGTTTCTTTCCCAGAGTTCCTTGTAACTTCTCCTGTCTAATCATTTGATCTTCACTATGGAACTAGCAAAAATAGCTGTTGATAAAAGTCTCCACCAGACTGTTAAAAATGTTTTGCGTGATTCACTTATCAGGTCTATAAATCATACAGAAGAACTGACTTGATATTAGTGTTTAAAGTCTAAATCTTATTGTTTATGCTGAGTGCAGCGGATTTCTACATTGTTTCACACAATACCTTCATATAAATTCTCTTATAGAAGAAGCACTATTTGTGGAATTCCTACAACGAAATGAGTAATTCCATACTTGTTGAGATTATCTGAACTTATTTAACGGGAAATTGGCTTCGGAGTTACTGATTTTTATTCCCACTGGGTTTTCTACAAATGTATCTTTTTTATATTTGCACTATGCACCCAATTTCGGTTGCAGTTATACTTACTATGTAAAACAAAGGAGCACGCAAATAATCATGGTATAAATCCTATGGGATAAAAACAGATTAAATCTATTGTTGCCACTTAAATAATATAAAACTTAAAGACGTATGAAATTTTATGAGAGAAAGCTAATTAACTGTTTTCGAACCTCCTGTAGTAGAATACTTTAACTCTGTGCACTATGTTATTCATGTTGGCATTGAATTGCCGACTTTATTGGATCGTTTTATTTGTATATTCTCAACTTGACTTGAAGGAGACTAGTGCATACTATTCTGCAGTTTTAGTTCTTCTTTTTATTTGCACTTTGTAGTGTCTATAATTCGATACAACAGGCAAGGTGATTTAATGTGATTCTTAATAGTACTGTAATCTGAATAGTTCTACTAATTTTGCCTTCTATTGTATATACATTTCAGGAATATTTTCAATCCAGATAACAGCTGTAGTGTGTTTTAACTAGCTTATCTAATATCAGTTTCAATGCGCTTTGATAATTTATGAAGATAGATTACACTACCCGTTGTCGGTATTTTGTCTGTGTATGCTGTCTGAAATGAAGCCTAATTGAATGCACATATGTAAATATATGATATCTGTTAATAGCAATTTGCAGATTGTGTGATTCAAATAATTAATGAACTCAGATGACAATCAAGACAATTAATCATTTGGTATTGGTACTCATGAAAAAGTGAGACTAATCCTGTTCGTTTTTATGTCTTAGTCTAGGTCAGTCAAGGGACATTTGTAAAATATTATCAACTGAAAGATTCTTCCTGAATGAATGCCTCCGAAAAATTCATCATTTTGAGGAATTTATAGTCAAACTGATTAGCTTCACAGTCAGTGAAACTTGTGAATTTGCCCAGAATGGAATTATTATTTTAATTTCTTATGATAAGACTGAAACAAAATATTTATCCGTAAGGCAATTGACTGTCTCTATGAACAACATAGAGAAGTGTTCAACAAAAGTATTACCTTGACAAGTCTATCAGTCAGATTATTTAGTAATTTTTCATGAGATCTAGTTGGTAGCGAGAAATAAAAGTCATGCTTCCGGTTTTTATACTCACTTACTTGCTAACTAAAAGAACGTCAGAAAACCAAACTTGGTTAACCTATACTTCGCTGGACGAGTGTGGTACTTGCTGTTTAAAGGTAAACCAATCAACACTGGTTAGTCGGTTGTAGAAAAAAACACTGGGATTATTGGATTCGCCGAACATGTAGAAGATTTTTGAAATAAGTAAAAAAAGTTACTATTTAGTTTTATTGGGAGATTTTTACTGTCCTGTTGATGACCAACTGTCTATTTTTCCATCTGCCAATACGCTGAATATCGCAACTGTCACTCGCTGTAATTATCTGATAAATTTCATCATGTTTGATTCAGTAAACCTTGTCTATTATGCTTCCTCATTAAAAATTCTGATGATAGTCACGTTGTTTATTAAACTGAATTCTGAAAGAGTGGCTGGTTGGACTCTCAGTGTTATAGGCTCTATATGATAATATAACGGTGGAAGATAAGAGACTTGGTAATAGATTGTTTATTTGGAATTCGGTATGTCTATATAGCAAAATAATGTACACCTTATCTCCAAATCTCCATTTGCACAGATCTTCCATGTTGTGCTACTTCTGCTCTTCGTATTGTGTTTCTTGATCTTCTTTTCGTATTTCCCATGCTTTTCAGTAATGGTGAGTCATTTTCTTTCTTTGACTTCAAATCTCTCTCTACTATTTAATGTTTTTACGCCGATGAAAGTCTATTTATATACTACTAATAAATTTTATCAGTAGCATATGCCACAATATGATATTGACTATTTACTGTTATAAACAGTTTTAAACTATGGAAGAAAGGTCCAAAGTGAATTATATTGGCAGAAAAATAGCTGCAAAGTTCTGTGTTTCTTAGAACAATTACTCAGGAGTAACTTGAATATGTACACTAAGAATTTCATGAATACTTTGAGACTACCAAGTAGAATGGGGGAAATTGTAAGCAGTTACAAAAGGGGATGCAATACACAATAATGCATGTTAGTCGTTCAGATTGATTTTCTAACTTTCTAAAATAATGTTTCTGAAAAAAATATGTGACAGTTTGATCAGGATTTCACTTGTAAAGTCTGTAGTCTATGGTAGATTGTAGTGCGGCGTGATGCGGCCAAAAATTGAAATCAACATTTTAAGTCAATGGCTACAGAGGCAGAAGTGTTTACTTATCAAATCTGGGTTTAGTTTACGTAATGGACACGGAATAACCTCATTGGACAACTTGTTTAGCCTTGGGCCAGTTGCCAGCCAATCAGAACAATTTACTGTCCTCTGACCTAGATGGATTTTAGTGTGTCTTTTATCTTCCCCCGTTACATCAGGACCATATTGAAGTCGCTTGTGACAATAAACAGTGACAATTTACTTTGACTAGTCAGTCCACTTGAACATCATTGGCATAATTGAATGATGTCAACCATAAAATGATGGTTTGAAGATCAATTGGTTCTCGATTTTAGCGGTTCGTTTTAGTTTCTGGAACTTGTAGTTGGTATCTGTCACAATTAGCAAAAGTAATGTATCATAAATATAAATGTATGATATAATCGGTAGACATATAACTAATGAAAACAAGGTTTTTCTGTTTTTTATATTCGATGCATCTCCACTTTCTTGAGCCTGTTTGTTGGGGAATAGGTTCATTGTTAGTTCTTTGTT